CTCTGTGGTCGAGTAATGTGCGATCAACCTAATAATAAATGCTGTACAGTAGTATCAATTGGACAATTGGTAAATGCATCTTCTGATATAGAATACAAGAGTATTGAAGATGATGTAAATGAGATAGATTACGGAATGAAGCTATGTTCTCACTGTGTCCATGATCTTTTTGTTATAAGGAAGTATCAAAAGGACATTGAAAGGAAACCTTCATTGTTATTAAGGAAGTACGAGCTTCTAGATAACCTTTCAAGAGTGATCTCTGATATTTTACCTAACTTTCAGAACTTATTGGAATCATTAGATAGATCTAAAAAAGATGGGAACATATTAAATTCCGAGGATCTAACCGCACTGTCACAATTAAGAAGCAAATTATTAAAGTCCTTTGTGTTATACAACGAGACGGCAAAGATTTTATCCAAGATTGAACCTCAGAATAATTCAGAAAGAAAAATCCAAGAATCAATACGACAAGTTTCATCAAAGTTTATCAATGAGACATTATTGCCATTAAAATCGGTCCCCGATATACTAAATCCTAAAACTGAATCGAATATAGAAGATGATACACCTGAAGTGACAACATTGTCTGAACTAATGAAGAATGATCTATCGATAAAAGAAATCAATAATGCTCGTGAAGAACTGATGGTATTGAAGGAACAAGTATATTTGGTTGAAAACATGATAGAAAAGGCTAAAAAACAACGTAAATTCGATGAAATTTCAATTTTGACAGACAATTTACAAGATCTAAACTCACAAATCCAAACCATAGAGACTAAACTGGGTGATTTAAGTTTTACTTAGTTGTATTAAACGGACCATTACTTATTTCGTTTATTCTTGCATTTAATTCATTAATGTTTTTTTTTCACTCTTGTAATAAGATAACAACCAAAATAGCATCGTATATATAATTATATAGGCATAATAATACCATATTTTATAGTGAAAATACACATTAAATGGTACAAAGAAGACATTCCACCAATGTATAAGGTTTTTTAGCTTAGAAGTGACACTGTTATCACTGAAAACAACATAATTTACGTCACTGTCTCCCATACAAATTTTTTTTTAAAAGCGTTGAGGCTTCGAGATATAAACTTCATCGCATCGAATATTTAATACTTCAACAACTTAAAGTCTAACTATATTACAGAACTATACAAGAGGAAGTTGGTCCCAAGAAGGTACTAGGATAATTTTGAATTCTGTTAGTACTGTTTGACTAGTTATTAATAGCTGTTACCTTTGGAGATCAGTGGTTTTGGTTATTTTTTGGCTTGTTTGGTGAGGTAGTTTCTTAATTTTGAGAAATATTAATTATGGATAATGCTAGAAGACTAGAGTTATATGAGTTGAATACTAAAGCTTGGGTTGGGGTGGATGTTTTCCTATTGAATGCCAAGAAATTGGATTCTAGTATAAAGAGGAATACTGGTTTTATAAAGAAGTTGAAACAAGGCATAACGAAGGAATCTATGCCTTCCTTGCTTAAGGACTTAAGTGAGGTATCTTTACAAAAATATTTATCTGAGATAATAGTCACCTCTAATGAGGCGTTAACCAACGTTGGTAACAAGAACGAAGATATTATAGCTGCAGTGGAGGTCATCAGTGCATTGCACCAACGTTTTAATGAACAATTTACAGAAAGATTGTTTGAATTGTTTTTGCATAATTTTAATAGTCCTATCTCTGAAATAGATTCAGAGAAGGAAGAACTTACAAGGATTAATAAAATTAGAGGTAATTTACGGATCTTTACAGAACTATACTTGGTGGGCATATTTGTGATTAAGGAAGATGCATTGTCCAAGGAACAACTCCCTTCTTTTTTAAGCAAAAAATCAAATAAAAGAGAACCTATTTTATTTAATATATTAAAGGAAACTTTGAATTATAAATTTAAATTAGGTTATAGTACAATAATTGCAACAAGTTTTGTTAAAAGATCTTCGACATTTTTTGATAATGATGATTCCTCCTGGGATTCATTCATTAGCGATTCTGATCTGAAGAAACTGATTCAGTCCTTATTTAAAATATTCACAGATGCTGTGTTTGCTAGAGTTATAGATTTGGATAAAAAAATGAAGAAATTAATGAAAGAACATCAAAAATGCCAAATCCGTACTGGTAAATTAAGAGATGAATATATTGAAGAATATGATTCTTTGTCCCCTATATATGACCGATTCTCAGCTTCAAGTACAGCATTGGCGGAATTCTTCAAATTAGAAGCACCAATTATAGATAATGATGATACAGAAGATATTGTGCAAAAGAGTCCCATGATTACAACACAGACGGTTACACCTGGACAAGTTCTTTGGGATAATGATGATATGAGACGATTCTATGAAAATTTACCAGATATATCAAATGAAGTTGAAATTTCACCATCATTAACAAAAGATGCTAATAATAATGAAGCTATAAATGATTTTTTTTCAAGTTTAGAAATGGCAGAAACAAAAGAAGATATCGATAAATTATCGAAAAGTTATTGGTCTGAAGGTTTGGATAATAAAGCAACTAGAAAAAGATTATTGAAATTCTTCATAGAAACACAAGACTGGAGTAAGCTTAGAATCTATGCCCGTTTTGTAGCTACTAATTCTAAGTACTTCCCTGAATTGTATGATGAATTATTGAACTATTTGGATAGCGGGTTTCGTAGTCAATTGCATTCTAACAGAATTAACTTTAAGAATATAATTTTCTTTAGTGAAATGGTGAAATTCATGTTAGTTCCAAAATTTATGATTTTCCATAAAATTAGAACTCTCCTAATGAACATGAACGTTCCAAATAATATCGAAATTTTGACTGTTTTATTCGAACACCTAGGTAAATTTTTAATTAATCACTCTGAATATCAAGAACAGATGAAAAAAATGGTTGATTTAGTTAAAGAGAGAAGTAGAGATCGTCAATTAAATTTAAATTTAAAAGGTGCAATGGATAATCTTTATATTTTAGTTTATCCACCATCTGTTAAAACTTTGAATTCGGAAGTGAAATCTTATACACCAGAACAAAAATTTTATTCTACGATGATCAGAAGAGAACTAGCGAATACATCTGTTAAGATCTTGTCTAAATTAATCCAAAAGGCTCATTGGAAAGATGAAGAGATTGTCAATACATTTTTTGATTTATTTACGAGTCCAGAAAAAATTCCTTATCAAAATATTCCAATTATGAGTAAAATTTTAAGTGATATATATGTATATCAAAGGAATTTTGTCGTAAAATGCATCGACCAAATTATTGAAAATGTGGATAGAGGATTGGAAACCAACGAGTACAACGATAATTTGCAACGATTGGCAAATATAAGGTATTTGACAGATATTTATAACTCCGAAATTATTAAATCCGATGTTTTGATGGAAACCCTATATCATATCTTAAAATTTGGTCATCCAAATAGCCAACCTAATCCATATTATCAAAACTCTTTTGACTTGAAGGATAATTATTTTAGAATTCAATTAATTTCCACAAGTTTATTAAGTATCACCAGGATAACACCTGCAATGACTAGAAAATTAAAAGTTTTCTTAAGATTCTTTGAGTATTACATATTTACAAAGGACCAACCATTACCGAAGGAAACCCAATTCAAGGTAACTAATGTTTATGAAAAGTATTCGGAAGATCTTGAATTTGAAAGGTCGGCCAACTTGGAGGAAAGTGCTATTAGGTTAGTCTCTATATTAAAGATTAACAATGGAGTGACTCCTTCTGAGACCCAATTGAAAGGAAAGGAGGAAGACGCTGATATTATAGAGGAAAGTGATTTAGATGACGCAATTCTTGAAGAAGGCAGTGAAACTGAATTGTCAGTGACAGATATGGAAGGTTTAGAAGACGATGAAAGCGATGCCAACGATGTGGCTAATGAAGGCATTGGATCCGAAAATGAAGATTCTGCGGTAGATGATTATTTGGAAAGCAGCGATGATGATGAAGATGAAGATGAAGATGTTGATGAAGATGAAGATGAAGACGAAGATGATGAAAGTGAAACTGATGATTCTGAGAGTGACTCTGAGAGTGATGAGTATGACGAGTATAGGGATATTGATGCAGATCGTGACATTGAAAAGAAAAGAATGTACGAAGAGTTCCAAAAGAAATTGAAGAACGAAGATGAATTGAAAGCAGAAGATGAACTTGAAAAACAATTCCAAGCTATCATGTCAGAATCAATCGATTCTAGAAAGAATGAAAAAATCCAAAATAATAATATTCCGATTGTATCGAACAGAGGAACCTTCAATAAGCCAAAACTATTGTTAACTAAACCAGTGGAAGACAATGCCAAAACCAGCAATGATGGTTCAACAAATAAAGTGGCATTTACATTTTTAACAAAAGCTGGTAAAAAGACACAATCAAGAACGCTTGCATTACCAACAGACCTAAAGTTTGTTTCCGATGTCTTGGAGGAAGAAGAAAGATTAAAGGATGAACGTCAAAGAATAAAGAACATTGTCCTTCAAAGGGCATTTGATTAGTTAATAGGTTTGTAAATAAATATTATAACATTGTAACAGCTATTTACACTTTTCTCAAGTTACGTAAAATTTTGTTTTCTTCTCTTCTTCTATCTATCGTTTTACCACTCGACGTCTCAAAGATATGACGTCTTCTCAACCATTTCACCCAATTTAAACGGTTCGAAAGGGATAGGAAATAAATAGTATAGACCTCAAATAAAGCTGAATACTCTTGAATGAATCCACAATCCAATCCATTCGTAATATTAACTTGTCATTAATTGAACAGTTTGGTTAACCTTGAAGATAACCTTAATTACTGTCACCTAGTATCATCATATACGAACCTTCCTTTTCTTCAAGTTAGCTCCCTCCCCAGCCTATGAAAACAACAGGAAACAAACTTTTAAATCTTGAGGATATAAAGAATGGATAAGTTTAAGAAGTATTGGTTAAAGTAGTTGGAATAGAAGGTTTTAGAAGAGATTGAGCCATTCTAGAGGGTATTTCCGGTTACCATTGAATTGCAATTAATTGAATATGTCTACTGTGAACGTTTTAAGATACTCTGCATTGGGTCTAGGTCTAATTTTTGGTCTTAAGAATGATTTAGTCTTCAGATCCGATGCTAAGAAGCAAAAAGAAGAAGAAGAGTATCAAAGGAAGTTGAAGTTGGTTGAAGAAGCTAAGAAGGAGTATGCTAGATTGCATCCTCCAAAGGAAACCAAGTCATCTTCTAAGGTTAACTGGGAAGATCCAGCTTTGGATTATGGTTCTGCTATTTTAAAGGCTGTTGAAACATTAAAGAATTGATTCAGATAAATGATCAATACATTCAAATAAGAAGTTATATTTGTTATTTGCGCAATGACATCAATATCTCTAATTGTATGTATTTGCATGCCTCTATTGTTTTTTTTATTTATTCTTTATTTCCCTTACCAACTTTAATTTTGAACTATGTCTTCTCTTTCATATATTCAGAGGTATCACATCAATTGATTCATATGCGATGTTTTAATGATGAACGATATCAATAATCTATTCCTGTTTTTATAGTACTTAAAACAATATTATTTATATAACCATATCATTTGTATATAAATAAAACCAAAAAAATATAATAATAAATTTTTGAAAAGCTTATTTAATTGTTGATGTCTATTTGTAACGAGAACTTGTGGTATTTACAAAAAGTCCCCACTATATACATGAATTCTTGTACAATATTTAAACCTATATAATTTTTACGAATTTGCATTTAATTTTTCTTCATTTTCATTTCTTTGATATTCTTGCTTGACTTAAATTCAATCACGAACTTTATCAAAGATTCTTACTGGATCCAAACCATACTTTTCCCTAATTATATTAACGTTTGAATCCCATTCACTTCTCCAAACATGAGCCCCTATTGGGGTCAATCCATTTTCTTCAACGAATGCTCTAATATTGAAATTGTCTGTATCTAGATCTGAAGGCTTGGCCAATTTTTTATCATTTGCATGTCTGAATACCCAAACACAATATCTTTGCTTTCCGATGTTTTTATCTGGAGTTGGAGCAACATATTCTGTCAATACATTAGAATCATCGAATTTTCTTGAATCGACCATATTATCGTTGTAACTTACTTTCAAATTGGTTAAACCATAGGCCAATGAAGTCTTAAAAGTATCATTTTCTAAATCTGGAACATCTGGGTTTACAATTAAAATAGTATATAATTGTTTTTCCGGATCAACTGTATCATACTCTTGTATTTTGAAAACAGGTGGTAAATAGGTAGTATTTGATGATAATACTTCACCTGGTTCAATCCATTTATTCAACCCGGAAGAATATGGGAACTTAATGTTAATTTCTGCTTTTGGCTCTAAAGTTGGTAATGTGTCTGGGATAACATGCAAGGTCTCCAATCTCTGCATTAATAACATTTGACCATATGATTCCCAATGTTTACGGCCAAGATGTCTATAAACAGGTTGATCAAAGTCTATAATTTCTGGATTGTTGTCAATTTTTTCATTAAATTGAAAGTTATATTGGACCTCTGGATTGAACAATTCAGCCTTGATTAATAATTGGTTCAATTTAGCCTTATCTTTAGTCTTTTCAATTTCAGCATAAGTTTCAGCGGCTTTAGATTCCAAAAAATTGTTCGAGATCTTAAACATATCATCCATATGTTCAGGAGAAGCATACTTCAAACGATTAGACCTTCTCTTAATAGATGGAGGTCCATACTTTGGGGTACCTTCCAACAATGCCTGTTTTAAAAGCTTAGATTTAATACCAAAACTCTTAGGTCTATTGCTAAAATCGGACCAAACTTTAGCGTTCTCCAACAAAGGACGGGCTGTATGAATGCGTCTTCTCAACATCTTCCTCAATAGAATGAATACTGGGTCTCTTATATGTCCTTTTATTCGATCTAAACCCCAATCATTAACATCAACTAAAACCTGTTTCTTATAAATAGTTGTCTTAAGATGCCAAATTCCATTCGAATTTATTTTTCTGCTTCGAAATTTTCAAAAATCTCGCCTCGTTTATAATGACGTATTTTGAGGGTGTCAGTAAATAATAAATCTTGAAGATGGAAGTATAAATGATTGGCAATCTAAGAGCCATTGGATGGTTCAATGTGGTACATATTTTAATCAGGATATTTTAGAAATGTTTTAATGTATATGGATAGTTTTTCAAATTTTCAAAAACTGTTACTTTTCAATCAGTGGGCAGAAAATCTGATTGAAATGACACACTCTGAAACGAATTAAAGATTTAATCAATAACCTTGCAACAGAAACCTAGCAAGATGTCAATTCTAATGTATGATATGGTCCTAGATGGAGCAAATATTGAATTGTTTGCATGATTCGATAATATAAGAAACCCTTCTCAATACCAAAGACCCAGTTTTGACAATCGAAGGAATTAAAAAAATGCAGTGTGTCAAATACTAATAGCTTGTGATATGTCACTACCATTACCGATTGATACTCCTTGATTAATTGGAACATTCTCTTGTAAAATTGTAAGTGTTGTTATTTTTTTTTATGTTCTTTTAACTTAAGAGATCTAATAGTAGTTGAAATGTGGATATAAAGATCTAACTACAATACTGGTTATAGTTGCAGGCTGGTTAAGATGAACAAATCAAGTATGGATACAGAAGCTAGTATGGAACATCAAACTTATTTCGACAAAAATAGTTCAAACACAACAGAAAAATTTAAGTTGCAATCTTTACATATCAATCAAAATGTTCAGGATCTAAATTCTGACCAAAAAGCCTTTAAGATATTTCTCAGTTTTATTCAAGGGATTGATAACTACTCCATGGCTTTGGAATTATGGGAATCCTTGCCAGAATCATCAAAGATGCTTTTTACAAATAACTCAACCACCTACCAATCAACTTCAAAAAGCAATCGAATTATTATTCACTCCTTTGGACAGCATAACAAGACAAAGCTGCCAACATTATGCTCTAGACCAACTATTAAAAAAACAAGAAATACTGCTAGTATATCGAGGAAAAAGAAAACAAAGCATATCAACAGTATAATTGAAGAACTTACTAATGACAATAACAATCTACTTGAAAGTAAGCTTCATTCTTCATCCAGAATACCCAAATGTAATGGAACAAATTTTCAATACATACATCAAATAGACCATGAAAATGACATGGAGCTTTTAGCTGAACAATTCAACAGACTACAAACAAGACTGGAAACGGTAGAAAATTTATTAATTGAACCTCCACCAAAGTATAAAGCTGAAGATACCCTGGCCAGAAAAGCTTTGGCTAAAAACGCTAATCATAAATCAATATTCAATATATTCTCAAGGAAACCTTTTAAAATTGGAAAGTTCTTTAAAGATGACCACAAGAGATAAGGAATCGATCATTTCAAACTTTGATGTCTTTTTCTTTCAATGGTGCACTTTCAAACTTATAATTATTTGGATAAAATTATTTCAAAACTCTATTGTTATGCATTTTGGTATTATTGCTACCATAAGATATATATAAATATTAGACAAAAATAAATATTTCACCGTGAACAAAGAAATAGTTATCTCAGTTCAATCAATTGATAAAATGTCTAAATGAGGAACTTCTTTTCCTTCGCATTGGGCTACAACTTGGTCAATTTTTTTGGAGGCCCAGTTAAATCTTGGGTTGATCAAGAAAGGTCTTAAATCAAATCTATTGTCGTCAGGGGAATATTGCTCTGCATGGTAACTTGGAGTTAAAACAGTTTGCTTATGTCTATTGATTGCATAGAAGAAGAAAAATCTTTTAACCTTTTCAGCAACCTGTGCTGGTGTTAATCTCGGAGTCCATTGATGTAGTAACTTTAAGAACATAGAATATGGGCCACATTTTTCAACTTTACGTAAGTAACCAAAAACACTTAATTCTTCGTATGTCATACCCATATCAACTTCATCGGATTGAACATAATCCTTTGTTATAGGTTCCAATTCAGCGGTTGGAGTAGCATTCAAAAACTCATCTAAAATAGGCATTTCATATTCTTTTGAAGCAAAGGCAATGAAACGTTTTAAATCAGTTTTTGAAATACCACCAATTGGATTAATATCAGCAGAAGAACAGTCATATTTAGTTAAGTAACCACGTAGACATTCGTCAACATTGGCACTACCAAGAACTAATAAACCACCTGAATTTGGAATACCACGTACCCAAGGTAGAAGTTGGGCAAATAAATAAGCCAATACCATTCTTAGACGTGCTTGAATATTTTGTAACGATAGATTTTCAATTTGGGAGCCACCAAAAATCTTGAAAATTGGTTTCTTCCCTGTTGCAACCTCGAATAAGGAAACAACACTGGTCACCAAGGAATCCATGTTCAAATCGACATGATAGGAACCTATACGTTCAGATAATTCGCGACTTCTTGATCTGGTTTCTGTAGAAGAGTTTTCAGTACCCATAAAACAGGTGTGGAAAATCTTACCAGCAAACTCTTGAACATTAGTTGGCAACCAGTCATCTGGACTACGTGAAATTTTACGAGCGTCGATAATAACCTGTTGGTTTCCTTCAGCTGCTTCCTTAACAACTAACCTACACATCGAATAGACAATGACAGCGGTAGCACATGAGTCAATACCACCTGACAATGGTAAGAAAAACCCAGTACCATTACAACGTCTCAAATAATCCCACATCCAACAAGCAGGACCAAGTGCAATTTCTTCTTCTGGGGTATGGTAGAAGATATCACGAACCTTTGAAGGAATTACAGTTGGATCAAAAGTTGAATTTCTTGGAGCTAATTCGACTGGGATATTTATTCTTTCATATCTTGTTTCTGTTAAAGATGCTTGTAATCCACGTGACATAATTGCAGCACGATAATTTCTTACTTCTTCCAAGTCGACAGTTGCTGTAACAACTTCTACATCTTTTAAGCAGAATTGAGAACCTTGTGCAACGACTTTACCGTTGACTGCAATTAAAGCACAACCATCGTAGTATAATCTGTCACCGTCACAACCACGTTGATTGGCATATAAATATACCCCACCACAACGGCTAGTAGCATTTAAAATTAAATCTAGTCTTTTATTCAATTTACGTAATTCGTGGTGAGAACCTGACGAGTTTGTGATAATTTCAACACCATCTAAAGACATTGAAATATGTGGTGACTGTGGGGTGAATAATTCTTCACAAGTTTCGGCACCAATACAAGTATCCAAAGTATTAATTACAGCGTCACCAAATTTAACAAACTTTTGACCAGTGACCTTCTGAATGGCTGGTGGTAATAAAAATTCTTCAACGACACCAGGCTTCATCCAAGGTGTGAAAAATCTCATCTCACGATAGTTACCATCATTTGCCAGCCAAATTTTTGGCCTAATAAATAGGATTTCACCATCTAGAGATAGCAGACGACAATTATAACGGACATTTTTATGCAATACTGGCATACCAATATCTAATAATATGCCATGAGTTTCCTTTTTTTTAATAATCTGGCCATACATTTCCCAAGAGTGCAAACAGACATCACTTTCTAAAAAATGATCTAAACAACCATACCCTGTAATTTCTAATTCTGGACCAACACGTAGACGAGCACCTCTTTCTTTAGCAATTTTAATGGACTCTAAGATACGGTCTCTATTACCTTCAAAATCCAATGCCCATTGGTTTAAATTACAAGTTGCAACTGTAATTAGATGAGACATCTTTCCAAATATATATTTGTATTATATTTTAATATTTCTTGTATCCCAACTCAATTTAAATAAAACGAATTCGTTGCTAGTAACTAATTTTAATGGATTCAGCAACTTTATAACTATATTAGAGTTTAATTGAATGAGAATGTCGCATTTTTCTAATTATTAATTAATTAGATTAATTAATTATATTAACATCTTATGAACATTCGAAACCATCATCGATTAGGAATTGGATATTTCAATTTTGAAATTGGTGATACTTGAACTTAAGACAGGGTAACCTATGTGGCTTTTGTATAGGCAAATAGATCATTACATATCACGTGGTTTGGAGATGGAATTAATGTAAATTATAATACGTATCGAACAGTTTTATAATAACTCTCATTCATAACTATACACTCTTCTATATATTAAGTGCCTGACATTAAGTTGCCTAATATTTTTAATTAATTTACGGTCCCTTATTAATTTCTTAATTTCTTAATTTCAAAACAAAGAGTTTGATCTATTTGTAGGTGAATTGCTCTTTGCATGTCAAAAAATATTATTGATAATTCATACAACCAATGTTTATTTTGATGATACCGTTTAAAATATCACATTTATAAAATCTAGAAATATTTCAGATTTCAAACCTATGATTTAGATTTGTCAAGTACTGAATACTCAATAGTATTTATACCAGAACACGTAGAAGTTTCTAAAATGTAGTGAACCACTATTAAACTTGAATATACCATAATAAATCTTTTGTACTTTTGACTTATTAATGGTTTTTTGTTGTTCTCTAAGCACAAGTGCATGTATGCAAAGTAGTCATTACGAGATTCCCGTAAATAAACCATTGTTAAGATAGTCTTTTCAACAATATTAGTAACATGATATTTTTGTTAATGGTTCTGCATAACTTCGTTTTTGATGTTGCTGAACTACTAATCAAATATAGCTGAGCTGTATCTAGTAGATATTTTAGCGCACATAACCTGTTGCTATTGAAAATAGGGTTTTTTCATGACAAAAGTAAATAAATACATGAATTTGCCCATACTATGTCTATTAAGTTATTCCATTAATAACACCAAGAGACATCTCTTTGTTTCACAAAATTCCTTTTAGTATCTTCTTGCACAGCAATTGAGTCATTGAATTAAATAGCACTTTTATATGCATTACCGATACTATTCTTTATATTATCTTCAAGTTCTTGCGTTAGCTGTTCATCTTCGATGTTAAATATCTTCTGTATAAATTTAGCCAATGACTCAACATCGAATTCCATCATAGTTCGTTTTCCAATCATATATATTAATATCTTGGACGACCCGGATTGTTCCTCAATCTTACTTACATATCCTCTTCTTTCCATTTTTTTCAATAATTCATCAACATTATACTTTAATATAGGTATTTTTGTCCCGTCTATTGGTATACCAAATCCTTGTAATCGATTTAACAATTCACTATCCAAGATGCTATTTTTCTCAAATAATATACAACTTATTACGATCAACACTATCCCTTTAAATACGTACTCTATTTCATCACCAATTGAATTGCTAATTGTATATTCTGTACCACCTTCAATTTCATCTCCCCTATAACTTCCATCTTCGATTAAATCCATATACATATCATTCCCATGCTCAAATCGTAACTCCTCTATCGAATCCAAAGATTTAAGCTTATTCAGAAGAATAAAATTCTGGTACTTGCTTGAATTAGAAGAAGAAGCTATCTGCGTTTCAGATACTCCACTTTGGTTATCTTCATTTTCATTCTTTGCAGGAATTCCTCGTAGTTCATAACCATATATCTCCCATAGTATCTTATTGATCTCCCTGAATACTTCATCAAACCGGACCTTACCAGTATCCTCTTGTTTAATAAATTGACTAATAGATTTCTGTAGCCGTATTTTATTAATTATACTATTCTGAGTTTCCACTAGTGATAATATAAATCTTACTGCTCTTGCAGAAATTTTGCTCACACTAGGATTCACAGAAGAATTAGAACTCCCCTCAGAATCTTCCACATCATTAGACGGCTCCCTATTGGTATTATTCTGCACCATAATTATCCTTTGTTCTAATCAAAAGAACTTACTGAGATGAATTGTTAGATCTCATCACCATTTGCGATGCTTTTATATGTCTTCATCTTTATATTTCGAATGATTCCAAAGCGGAAATCAATTGTTAACCGGAGATAGTTATCGATCCAGAGAAAATAAGTAGGGTAACGCATTCCATGTGATTGATGTAAACTTGTATTACGTGCAAGGCAACGTTACTGGACAGCGCTAAAAACTATAAATGGAAGTAAACTGGAGGTATAAAGCCTTCTTATATCTGGTATTCATCTATCTATTAATTAACGTATATGCTCATATCAGGATTTATTATCATATTATATATTAAATCATAAAAGGATGGATAAAACTTCGCACAAACCACTAAGATCAGGGACGAACTGCCTGACACTCTCTGGTTGATTTTGACTACACAATAGGGTTTTATGGAAGTATTCTGCACTCCCTCCCCCATTCTCTCCTACACCTAAAGTATAGTTGCATCTAACATCTGATAATAACCTCCAAAAGGTTATGAGCCCTGAAGCCAATATTTATACTAAGTCAAATATGTCTGAATAAAATACTAAGAATCTTTCCCCACAAACTTCAGAAATCCGAATTGAAGAATATCACAATATCAAAGATAACAATTTGAAATCTTGAAATCTTCAAACCATTCTGAAAGTGTTATGAAATTTCAAGATGCTGTTGAGGTCAATTCAGAAATTGATGAACCAACTTATGGTATGAATGAGTTTGAATAGAAGTTTTCAAAAACTAATGTACCAAGCTACAAAGTCAATGTTATTGATAAAAAGTCCCATGAAAATACTGATGTAATCGGGAACAAACCTTATTTAGAACGGTGTCGGCAAATTAAGTTAATAATGGCATGCCTCTCTAAATTAAACATTCTCCCCCCGAAGAGGACCAATTATACAGCAATAAGGAAAGAGGCATTAATGCTCGATTGCATGAAAACATCGGTTCTGAAATTTAGAAAGGTATTAAAGACCTTAACCTAATTCGAAAAATAAGGAAGTTCAATGCTAGACAATTGATCGATCATCAAGAAAAATCTCTAAAAGGTTAAATCTATGAATAAGAGGTAAATAAGTTCATAGAAAATTGATGAAGTTGATCCTATAAATATGAATTAAAATACTTGAGTCTCCATGGATGCATTAACTTCCAATTAAAACATTATATATAATATTTGTTTCCTGTATGGTACGAAATCTATTCCAATTAAGGAATGTAAAGAATAAACTAACCCATGTCAGTAGAACAGCCAAGAGCTAAATTGATGAAAGATATGAATGGTAATCTCAGATCACAGAAACCTACCAAACGTTATCCGACATATACTATTATATATATGTAGATACCTACTTATTTATAAACTATTTCAATAACTTTCTTTTAATACTTCTCTACCACCTCCCTTTCGATTGAGTTCTCTGTAGCCATTAGTTGACTATTAATTTTGGTCTGCTAGCTCCGCACCGTTTTTACCCGTTTCTATAACGATCCCTCAAAAAACCTTTAATTTAGTTTAATTCGAATCGAATAGAATAGATTCGAATCTGGTTAAGAATGTTTAAAGTTATAGAAAAGAACATATCCAAGAGAGTATAGACTTGAACAACAGTTGGGTTTGAATACATTTAAACATAGTTTTGATACCTTTTTTTGAAGAACAATAATAATATAATATTTTTATAAGTAGCTAGCTTTCCATCCATATTGCATATATCCCTTTTATATAACTATACCCTGCTACGTTTTAGAACTTTATTATTTGATATTTGGCTTAAATTAAAAGGTTACAGATTTCCTTTATTGGCATTTACTTTGATTTATATTTTTGTTTTTTGAACTTATTTGATCTTATGACTATAACTAAAATACCTATTTGGTTGGATTGTGATCCAGGCCACGATGATGCAGTCGCACTTCTATTGGGTTGTTTCCATCCTGCTTTTAAGATTTATGGCATAAGTGCATGTTATGGTAACTCATCTCCTGAGCATACGCATTACAATGCAAGATCTTTATTGACTGCATTTGGAAAAGCCAACGATATTCCTGTTTATTTGGGGGCTCAAAAACCTTGGGTCAGGAAACCTATATATGCCCCTGATATCCATGGGGATACTGGTTTGGACGGTACAGACTTATTGCCAAAACCTGTGGGTGAAATAAATGAAAAATCGTATATTGAAGCTGTGGAAGAAGCTGTGGAAGACGCAGATGGTGAGATTACTTTCATTTCTACAGGGGCTTTAACCTCGATAGCAACTATATTGAGAGAAAGACAACATTTGAAAAGTAAAATAAAATATATTTCTATTATGGGGGGTGGATTTTCTGTAGGTAACATTAACAACAATAAAAGTGCTGAATTCAATATCTGGGTAGATCCACATGCTGCAAATTTCCTATTTTCAGACAGAGAGATTAAAGATAAATGTGTTTTAACCCCATTAGATCTTACTCATAAGGCAATTGCAACAAACACTGTTATGGAGACTATTTTGGGTAGTAATCCTTCGAATTTAAGAAGAATGTATTACGAATTATTCCAGTTTTTTAGCAATAGCTATAAAAATGCACAAGGTTTTGAAAAGGGACCTCCGGTACACGATCCTATAACTTTAATTCCTTTATTAGAACTGTATGGATTGGAGTCACCATCGAACATTAAATATTCTTATAAGAGGTACGACCTTGACGTGATATATGATGAAAAGAGTGATGATTTAGGTAAACTAATTATCTCACATGAATACCCAGACTGTGGTTGTACTGGGGTCATGGTAGGATTTGATTTAAATATTGAATACTTTTGGGAACAAATATATTTCGTTTTGAATGAAGCTGAAAAATCCTCTACAATTGAACTGATTGACTCAGGAAAATTGTCCACCTCAAAAATTGATGAATTAAAAAATAATTGATTTATTTTAAAATGTCAATTTAATAATGAAAGTGTAAAATAAGTATATGTATATAATTATGTAACGTATGTATTATCTGGTTTTAAGAAAATGTTATGATATATGAACTGTTTTTATTCTGATTCAATCTTTTTAAAATCCAATTTCAAATTAAGTGGGCAAAGTGGGCCAGCGGGAGTCATTTTGTTGTTCCAACTCTTACTTAATTTCCATTCAAACCTTTTTAATATCTCAGCAATACAGAGTCTTAATTCTGCCAAAGCCAATTTTTCACCTAAGCAGGCTCTTTTTCCACCATGGAATGTTGGTAAAGTGCATTCCATCTTAGCAACTTTCCAATTATGGAAAATTGCTTCAATGGTTTTTCCCCATCTATTAGGATTAAATTCATCAGAATCATCTCCCCAGGACTCAAAATTATGTGTTGTAGAATAATTATGATAGCCTACATAAGCTCCCTTTGGTATAACGATATCGTTTCCTAAGCGACAAGTTTTGGTTGTGCATCTATTTATAATTATACTCAAAGGTGGGTAGACCCTTAAAGCTTCAAAAATGAAGGAATTTAAAATTGGCAATTGCAATAAATCATCATGTTTGCTTAATTTACCAATTTCATTTCTTATGGCAATTTGCCAACTGTCATGATATTTTCCAAGCAAGTATAGAATTGTCGTAATTGCCAACTGAGGGTTTTCATGACCAGCTACCAACAATACCACAATATTATCAGTTAATTGTTGATAATTTATTAATTTATTATTATAAGCACGAATTAGGTCACTGGATGTGAAAGTTGTTTGTTCAAATTTATAGTTGTTAATCAAATCATTTCTAACCTTGGACACTAATTCATTTCTAAAGGCAGAGACATCTTTAAAACCTTTCCTCCTTTGAGGCAAAGGAAGCATATCAAAGAATGGGAAGGTTAAAAAAAATGGATGGAAGATTTGTTTTTTAATTCTAATTAAATGGTCTTGTAAAGCACATTTTTCTTCAGTTAATGTACCAAAATCGAAACCTAAAACAACTTGAGATATATTTGCAAGGGCTAGTCTTTGGATTAAAGGACCCACAGTAACAGTTGACTCTGAATTCTCTTCAGTCTCCAAACTTTTTTCAATCAAGTCGCAAAATAATTTGGAATTCTTATAAAGAGGTTCATAATCAAAATGTTGTAAACCATTTGTTACAACGCTACGGTATGTCTTCCATATTTCACCATGTGCACTAATGACATTATCTCCTGTGTATAGAGCCAATAAACTGTAAGGAATCTTTTTTTGATTACCACTCTTGGCAAATACATCTTCATTTTTAAACATTTGTTTAACAAAAAGTCTTTTTGAAACTAATATATTCCATCGAGAACCAAAAAAATATTTAACAGCACCATATCTTTCTAAAGGTTTTCTCAAGTATAACTCAAACAACTCTGTCTGATCAATTGAATAAAATATCGGTAAAAAGGAAACATAGAATGGTATTGTTGGAATATTTCTTGGGAAGTTTAATGGTGGTGATACTACTTTGAAAATGAAAACACCAAAAATAACAAAACAAAATATAATAAATTTAATAAAAAATTCCATTGACCTCAAACTTAACTTTGCTGAACCAATGGTTACTTTGAAGTTAACATGGATATTAATAAATATACAAATTATCTTTAAATGCCAGTGCTGATTAAATATATGACATTTCCTTAAATAATTTCATTCTCATTTTCCCGTCGCTGTCGCTGAAAGCAAACTACTAGAAGCAATGGCAAAAAAAAACAAAATATGGCTATTAAAGTGTCTTAATGATTATGTAGAAGCTGGCGACAGCAATTTAATTTTGTATTTAAAGTTATACACTAACCATGTAAAGCAAATGTATCGTTTAAATTACTTCATTACTTTACGAGGATTCAGGGTTTTCTTTTGGTGAGGTTTGCTCTTAAGCAAGAGAAATCACCTTCAACAGTTTTTTCTCAAGTAATCCAAAGTTAAAATTAAACGATTCAAATAAAGTAAGGGGTTTAGTTGTTTTTGATCTTAAAGCAAAAACGTTATTAAATATTAGCTTCCCATTACATTGAAGAATATAATTATGGATTCATGTACTTTTGATTATGGGGAAATATGCCTTAATAATATGATCGGTCTTGGATTTTATACGTTATTGACTGAACTTAAGATGGTCTTAGTTTAGAAATATTCTATGTAAAATAATGCTTTTGCTCCAAATGCAAATGATAGAAATTGTTTCAGAGAATGATTATTATTGCTTTAGCTCGATTTGAAAAGTTTTTTATCGATGTGCGATAGAGTAGCTTCTACGGGAGATAAAAGAATCGAATCGAATTTATTGAATTTACTATCGAGCAAAATAATTCTATGAAATAAACATATAAATATATCAATAGAATTTTAATATTCTCAATTAAATTAAATTTATTTCTTAAGCTACTCTAAGTGACTTTCAGAAATTTTTCTTCTTGGTTTCATATAATTAACAATTAATCAAGTACAATAAAAACAAAAAAAATATATTGAAAAGAACTAATAACTAAATATTTTAAAATCAAGAATGACTATCACAAAGCAACCGACCTATGGTTCTGACAGTTTGCCAGTTTTATCCGGAAATCCATCAGAAATTCCCGACAATTTCATTCCTCATAAACGTAATGATTTGTCGACATTTAGTAAGGTTTTAGGTCTTTATTCAAGAGATCCTGAGACATATGAGTTATTTTCTTGTGAAGAAAAACAAGATTGCCAATTTGTTAAGAATTGGGAAAAAATGAAGTCATTATTAAAATCCACCAATTCAGAACCAAATAATCTTATTGGAAAAGTTTCCGAATACGTCATCGATGCAGGTGACGCTGACGTTTTCACTAATAACATGGGACTAAAAATCAAAGTCTCTGAATATAAGTGCAATGATGAGACCCAAATTAGAGGGGCTATAACCACTATGGAAAATGAAAATGCTTTTAATGATTGGTTTATTTACCATGTTTTGGATCAAGCTCGTTTGAAGAACAATGACAAACCAATTAACAATGATCCAAAAATGAATAAGCATATTCTATTTACTGAATTCTTTGAGAAAGAAATGAAAAATACCATTGCCAATGATCAATGGGAATTTGGTGGATCTGATTATTTCATTTCTAGAGTTAGATATTTCACTGACAGAAATATTACAATCGAGGCTGTTTTACCAGCATTTCCTTGTAAGTCCTCCAACGTTGACAAAGTTGGTGGAAATGTTCCAGATAAAGGTGAAGAACTTGCTCTGAGAAGATTAATGAAGTTCGCTAAAGATGTTAGATCATTTTATGAACCTGGTATGAAAATTTGGATAGTTAGTGATGGACACGTTTTCTCCGACTGTATTGGTGTTGACGATGACATTGTCAACAGCTATACGTACAAATTACGTAAATTATATGAAAATATTGCTGAAAAAGACTTAGATTTGATCGGATTCTGTGGCTTGAATGATTTATTTTTCAAAGGTGAAACTGCTTCTTTGTTTAACCCTAGTTGGGTTCAAGACGTCATCGTTGATCATTATACTGGTAGCAAAATCTGTCCTATATCTGACCTAGCAAGGCAAGTTTTAATGAAAGGTTGTGACACTGACGATGGAAGATTAAAGAAACACATCAATATTGACGGACATCCAAGACTCAACCTCTATAGAGGGTTTTCAAAATTTATGAGTGAAGATTTATCTTTATTACCATTCTTCGAGAAATCATCTAGGAAAAAATTCAAAAAGAATGTCTCAAAGATTGCATTTAACATGATCAAAAGAAATGACGCATATTCCAATTTAGTTGAGTTAGTTTTCCCACATCATTTGAGATTATCAATCCATGCACATACAAACCAAGGACCAAAATTTGGTATAAAAGTAATCTCCCAGGATCAATGTAAAATTGTCAGCTCTTTAGAAGATGAAGTCGAACCAACATTTGAAGATTTATTGCATATTCCAACCCCATGGCATAACTGTGTAGTTAAGTATGAAAATTACAGCTCTTCAAAAGAGGTTTCACCAGTAACCTCAGAGAGTAGTGCAAGCAATAATTCAGAAAGTTCGGCAACTTCTGAAGAGAATGAATACAATGAAAAAGAGGCCAATTCTGTATATTTTCTAACTAAATCCAAGATCGTTAAAGATGCAATTGCTAAAGGTATATATGAAGGAAATTGGAAGGAAACCTCAGTCGAGACCGGTGAAGGAGGACATTATGTTATCTATAAACGATATTAAGGGTATCAAGAAAGAAGACGATTCAGGAAGCTATAGTCTTTCACATTCTAAAAAATATAAAAAATATAAAACAATAAGTTCGTAAATATGTCACTAATTAAAGTTTTTAATTATGATATGTCTATCATTTTATTTCATTATTAATAATATCTACTATCGACTTTAGATATTATTTCGAGAAATATGTAACCTTTAGTTAGTTTTTTTCTTATGTCGTGTGTTGTTTAGTTAAAGTCACAAATATTTAGTAAATTGAAAATTTCCCAGAAGAAACAGCCCAGATGTACACTGAAATGCATGCTATTTAGGATTTATAACAATATTTGTTTATAATATAACATAACAACGTGACACTTCTGTTACTATTGAATTGCGATGACACTACCGCTAATATTTGCAATTTAGTCACGTGGTTGGTAAAGCGAATTACTATTGTCGGTAATTTCATGTCAGAATGTAACTGAGTGAGGTCATAGCCTTCAAATAACGAAAGCCTATTACTTAGAGATTTCCGAACTATAAAAATGAGATCCTTTCTCCTTATTCAAGATCCATTTAAAACTATTACTTAAATCTATTGTTAGTAACTAGTCAATATTGTATGGATATAAAATGCAGTTATAACATAGAGATAAATACCATACATACTTACTCAACTTGTCATATTGTATATTTATTTTGTGCAAACTCTCAAATAATGGAAGGAAACGGATATCAAATAAAAGAAATTTATAGGTTTCTGGATCCTGAGGATAGTTTCATATTTATAATTTGGAAATCAATGGGTCTCAAGAAGATGTACCAAGTAGTGAAAGAGAGCAAACTGTGGATTGTTAAAATCCCTTAAATGATGAGATATAAAACTTTGGTTAACTAAAAATACACATCGTAATGCACTAGATTTTAGGTTCCATCATAATTTAGAGAGTTTACAAGCAAAAAATAATTTCATATTATTAGTGGGAGAACTGACATTTGCAGGCTATATAAAGCTATAAATGTAATTTGGTTATATATATTGTTTCCAATTTTTCAAGATAGAGGTATAAGTCTATATATTTAAAAATTCAATTAGTTAAGAATATTTTATTAGTTGCTTAATAATCAAATTTATATTTTCCAGTATTCAATTACTTAGCAGAGATAAATATTTTTCAGTAACAGACATGCATTTTCTGCTTGATCGTTTCTATAAAAATGGTGGCAGATGTATTCATTCTATTTCGCCTCTTCCTCGCAGTTAATTTAGTTAAAAGATCAAAAAAGATTCCTCACATACAATTTTATATTCATTCTTTTAGTTCATAGTATGACGACTACTAGTTCTGTCCTAGTAGATCCGGTTTTGTTAAATTCCTTAATACAGATCACGTGTTCAAAAATTCATAACACCATATATTTTATCACATGATCCAACATATCGAATCTTCAAAAGTTTTTATTCTTTCATACGAAGTAAATTTATATATTTTCCAGTGTATACAAAATTTCAAAGATTTAGAAATACATTAAAAACTTGAAATTTTAGACAAGGTTGCTAGTTAGTTCTTCAAACATATATATTTAGTGATTGAACAAGTAAAATCAATCAGAAAGTAGAAGCAGGTTACGTTGTGCTCCAGTAATTTGTTATTATTTGATTGTTAGGAGATTTAATTGAGCAAAGATGTCTCAAAAGATTGGTCATTCCGCATTATCATTTGCTAGGTTATGGCATCATGTTGACCTAGCTAAAGATGAAAGAACACTAGGTAGATTAGCCTCATCTATAGCTATTACGTTGATGGGTAAACACAAGCCAGTGTACCATCCTAGTGATGACTGTGGTGATTATGTTGTTGTTACAAATTGTCAATTGTTAAAAGTTACCGGTAGAAAATTTGACGAAAAGACGTATTGGTCACATTCTGGTAAACCAGGTCATTTGAAGTTGACACCAATGAATAGACTTGTAGAAAACAAGGGATTTAATGAAGCATTGAAGAAGGCTGTCAAGGGTATGTTACCGAGAAATAAATTACGTAAAGTAAGATTAGAGAGACTAAAGGTATTTGATGGCAGTGAACATCCATATAAGAATAATATCACTGCATTTGCGTATGAACAGCCTAGAAGCACCCCAGATACAGCTAACCAAAATGTTCAACAGGGCACGAAAGCTTAATCGAACCAAAAGGAGAATCAATACAGGAGTTTTTGTTCTCAACCCATCAAGCAAAAGAAAACTAGTCAAAAAAACGCACATCCACATATATATAACATTCACCAAGTAAATATTTGTAAATAGGTATTCCAGCATGAACCCAGTAATCTGTTATGTATTCAAAAATATAAAACATTCTTAATGAGTTAATATGTGTATTGCCAGTTGGGCAATATTTTAATCACGTGATGCGCGTTGGTGTTCCAATTTCATTTTTTTTGATTTGGAAAAAAAAATGAGCACATGACAACAAAATTCAAGAAAGATAGAAACGTAATTCAGTCTGTGAAAATCCGATGTTTCTCTTTAAGGGCCCTAAATGAAAAGCAGGAAAAGAGATGACAGGAAAAGTTAACGTCGCTAAAAGATAAACAGATAGATTCTTGGTAAAAGTGACTAATCTTACAACCTCAACAAGAACCGATGTCCGATTAGATTTACAGACGCCATATGTATAAGCAATAACGGTTTCAAAAATGGAATCAAAAAAATTATTGAACCTCTCTTTTTCAAAATAACATTGATCTTATCGATAGGCGTAAGAAATGGGAACAATTCAAGTGAAAGGGAAAGGAGAAGGGTCTTTATTCAATTTTTTAAAACTTCGACACTGCCTCTAAATCTGATTTGATTGTTTAAGAATAATATAGGATATACGTATCCTATATATATATAGATGGATTGACTGTATCCCATGGGATAGAAGGACATAGGACGCAGATGCTATTACATCAGACCAGATTTTTGGTGCTAATCTTGACAGCAATTACGTATTTTACGATGGTGACAACGGGAATCTGACGGGGATGAGACGGAATAGAGGTGTCAGATCAAAACGTATAGTATCGTAAAACCAAAACAGGCAACACAAAATAAAAGGTTTACTTACCTCAACAGAAATAATACTCCGATTGTAAGAAACAGAAAACAGAAAATCAAGGCTAAGTCACTTGTTTCCAAAACAGTGAAGTGTAGAGGTTCCTCAAGTTATACTCAGTCACATGCCACTGAAGGGTACGTGGATGCGCACTGTTTCAATATGTATCTATTTTTTATTTTTAATTTTACCGAGTATCACAATAAAATATATCAACCAAACCAGTATGAGTCAATTCATGTTTTAGACAGACAGGCCATACAGAGCCAAGATTTGACACTCCCGATTAATTGACTGATTATACTGTTTAAAGTTAGAGCCTTGCGATTGGTCTTATTTTGCAGGTAAGACGGATAAGAAGTCTGTTCTTGCTTTGCTGCTGTCAGAAATCGTTTCGAGCATATTAGCAGAGATTGTTCCGACGGAAATGATTACTGTTACAGTATACAATGAAAAAACAAGAACGGTAAACACACAGAAAATGGAAATGAGATGACTTATTATGTCATGACTGGTGAGCTTTAGCTTTAGTTTGATCCTGGGCTTGAGCTTGAGCTTTGTTCTCCGTGGATATAAGACGGGTGATTGTGAAAATTAGCTTTGTGGCTGTCAGAAAAAGCAAGAGAAAACAGAAAAGGGCAATGAATTGGCTGGGTTACTGGGTTACCCGCCATTGCACATATACAAATTGGAATCTTTAGTGGCTATCTATCTATCTTTATGTGTGCGTTGCGTTTGTCGGGTGATTGGATTTTGGACTGGGCATGATGGATGACGGGCCTTGCTGTTGTTGTTCTTGTTCCCATGTGATAAATTTTGTGATATGGAATAAAGAGATACACGTTCAGAGAAAGTGTACCAATCCCTTAAACCCATCTTACATGCGTCTCTGTTTGCTTCTTCCCTTCGTTTCCCCACAAAGTAATGTCTTTTGTACGTGAAGTGAACTGTAATGTCACAACAATCTAGAAATCCAATTTTACTTTTTGAAAAGCAGAAGCTGTCAACTGCTCTCTTTCTGTTTTCCTGCCACGGACAAGTTCGAGTTTCTTTTACAAACGAAGCTTTACAAGCTTTAACAGTACCAGTACGTCGTCTCTGGTAGTTGTTGGAATAAGGAATAACATAGTGGTAATAACGTCAATGGAGGAAAAGAGAAGTAAATTCAGCCGGATTGTCTTGAGTCAGTTTAACGAGATGATACAATACAATACGCTACCACGGTAGAGATACGAGACAAGAAGAAACAAATTGAAAGAGAAAAATCGAGAACCCCTCAGTCTGACGAAAACATAACTGCAGACGCAATCACATATTCTCAAAAAGCAAAAGCAGAAGCAAAAGCAAAAACAGACCTATGAGGCTATGCTGGTCAGCTGACACGTCTTTTCTCCCAATAATCCTGCACCATAAGAATTAGACTTCAAAGAGCAGTATTAAGCTTACAATCAGAAAATTCTTGGCTGAAATAGTACAAAACACAAGGAAAACTACCTGTACCCACTTCAATCCATCCAATTCCACGGAACTCAATATTGTCATCAGTGTACTAACTTAACTCAACTCAACTCACTTAGTTCCCTCGGCCATCCTCATCACCACCGCTCAGACAAAAGCAACCAGGTCCTGCAACAATTTACAACCAAAACAGGAGGACAAAACATCCATAACCAATAATCCCCAAAACAGTATATCAGCATACAATAGATAGATACCATTACACAACAACAACAACAACTGCATATAATTGCACAAACAAACTAAACTGTACTCTGCTCTTCATCCCATCCCATCCATCAATGATTTCGAAAATTCTATCTGCTGTTGTTTTTTATTTTTTAACTTCAGTCTAGATGGTGTCTCTGGTGGTCCCATGGCCCGGAACCAGTTTATCTCCACGGTTTATGCTTTCCCTAACAACCTGTGCTCTCTCTCTCTGGCTCGGATTCGGATTCGGATTCTGGGTTTCGCTCTTCTCTACAGCCTGTTCTCTTTCGTTGTTTTTCCATTTCTCGTTTTCCATCACTCATCGCCCCCTTCCTGCGACTAATGTTAGCAAATTCTTCAGTTTCTCCCTCTGTTTCTCAATTGGGTGAAATACAACCAAATTTGTTTTGTTTCTTTTTCTTTTTCTTTTTCTTTTTCTTTTTCTTTTTCTCTTTTTGTTTGTTTTGTCTGTTTGTCTGTTCTGGTTTTTTCACCATCTCATGAACAGCAACCACCCTCTGTCTCCCCGGCTATCCACTTCGATTTATGTCCTTCTTACAACCATCCCATCATAGTCCCTTCCTAGTCAAATCACCTGAGAAGAACAGCACCGAACCGAGCCGAAATGATTCGAACTCAACTATTCTAATACCCATTCTAATACCCATCATTCCAATACCAGCTTACTCTCATTGTAATCGATACGTTTGGAATGGCTACCTCCATCGCTATGCTCTGCTATGCTATGCTATGCTGTCTCTCGTTATATCAAACTCACTATTGTTATATGCTTCAAAAGAGGAAATCCCAACTGAGTTCCTTCACACATTCTACATCTTTGGTAATTTCCAAGTATCTCTGCTGAGGAAAAAAGAAATTGTCATCCATACAAAACACATTTCTCTCCATATTAAGGTTAAACAGTACTCTCTCTTTACCTTTATCTTTACCTTTATTCCCTGATTCCATTTCTATTATTACCAAGAAACACTAAGCTAAATTCTAAATTTGACATCTAAACCTTCATCATCTTTAAAAATCATGAAATATAAATACTTATCTTAATTGATTTCAAAACCACACAGATTTCATTTTCCCTTTCCTTTCAATTGCATTACATTTACTACTGTTTTCTTTTTAATTTCATTTGTTCTTTTCGTATCTGTTAAAGTTACAGATCCCTCTTAGAAAAGGAAAAATTCATCAAGGAAATTACAATATCCTGCATCGAAGATTCAATTACTGTATCACCTATGTCGGATGACAATATAATTAGTGATGATGCAAAATCCACTACTTCAGAGAATTACTCTTATAAAGGTTTCGATTCAAATGCTGAAAAGAAAATTCAAGAATTAGCAAGAAAATTAACTAGAACAAGTACCAATGCAGGCTCTGATATTGGTGATAACACTTCTCTATTCGACCAAGGTCTAGCTGCAGATGGTGTTAATCCAATTTCATTAAGTCCAAATGATCCAAATTATAACGAAAAATTAGACCCTTCAAGTGATCAATTCTCAAGTTACTTATGGGTACAAAATATGTCAAATATCGTTACTGCAGATCTAGATTATTACAAACCATACACTTTGGGTTGTTCTTGGAAAAACTTAGTCGCTGAAGGTGACTCTGCAGATATCTCCTACCAAAGTACTTTCTCAAATATTGCAATGAAATTAGGTACAATCGGTTACAATAAATATGTTAGTAGAAGTGCTAAAAAAGTTCAGATTTTGAAATCAATGGATGGTATCATCAACCCAGGTGAACTATTGGTCGTTTTAGGTAGACCAGGTTCAGGTTGTACCACCCTATTGAAATCCATCTCTTCAAATACCCACGGTTTCACCATCCAAGAGGATTCAGAAATTTCTTATTCTGGCCTTTCAGCACACGACATCAAAAAACATTATCGTGGTGAAGTCGTATATAACGCAGAAGCCGATATCCATTTACCACACTTATCGGTTTGGCAAACTTTAGTCACTGTTGCTAGATTGACGACCCCTCAAAATCGTATTAAAGGTGTTTCAAGAGAGGAATGGGCAGAACATATCACAGATGTAGTCATGGCTACTTATGGTTTATCACACACAAGAAATACAAAAGTCGGTAACGATTTAGTTAGAGGTGTATCAGGTGGTGAAAGAAAGCGTGTATCCATCGCTGAGGTCGCTATCTGTGGTTCAAAATTCCAATGTTGGGATAATGCTACAAGAGGTTTAGATTCTGCTACAGCTTTGGAATTCGTAAGAGCTTTGAAGACTCAAGCTACAATTGCAAATTCTTGTGCAACTGTTGCTATTTATCAATGTTCCCAAGATGCTTACGATTTATTCGATAAAGTATGTGTCTTGGATGACGGTTACCAATTATATTTTGGATCTTCTACAAAGGCTAAAGCTTATTTCGAAAAAATGGGTTACGTATGCCCGGCAAGACAAACTACTGCTGATTTCTTAACTTCAGTTACTTCACCTTCAGAAAGAGTATTAAATGAAGATTACTTAGCAAGAGGTATTAAAATTCCACAAACTCCAGTTGAAATGGCTGAATACTGGAGAAACTCANCAGAGTATAGAGACTTATTACAAGAAATCGAGGAAAGCAATAGAGTTGATAACGAAAATTATAGGAACAGATTAGGGAGCTCATGTAGCCACTCAATCTAAAGAAGCAGACTTCATCTCCTTTACTGGGAGTATGTTTGCAAATAAGTACTTATTATCAGAAATTTTGGAGATGAAAGTAGTTGGGGCTACCCTGTTCAGTTTTAGGGCTTCGCCAGGCTTTTTTTTGGGTCAAGTTTACAAACCGGTTCTACAAACGGAAACTTTTTACGAGGGGGCAAGTTTTTGCCTCCTTTACACTTTCCCATGTTAGAATTTTCTTTCGCGAGAACCATTTTGAACTTAACTTTTTTGTCTCAGGCGACCTTCTCCTTTTGAGAACCCAAA